AGAGAGGGGCAAACTAAGAGACGAATTGGAAGGAAGACAAATACAGGTAAAACAGAAAGGACCTGAACTTGATGTTGGCAGTAAATGGAACAGGATGCAAAATAAAAGTGTTAAGAGAAAATCAATAAGACTTGATGACTCATCAGATACGGCAAGCGAGAGAGAAGAAAGATGACTTCAGGTTATTAATTCTGAGAGCCTGGGGGAGTGGCTAGAAGATGAAGTGGTGAGGAGGAGGCACTGATACAGAAGGAAGGAGTGGAAAGGTTATGATGTCTTCAACTTAAGCTCAGACACACTGTTAGAAACCCAAGGTTTGTCGTCTTCTATGTTGGGACCTTAAAACTGCAAAGCAGGGAGATGCTACAAGAATCTTTAGTATTGTGGGCTCCAGGGTTGTCCTAACAAAGTGCCACAGAGTGTGTGGCTTAAACGTCAGTAATTGATTTCCTCACAGTTTCGGAGGCTGAAAATCTAAGATCAAAGTGTCAGTCAGGCTGGTTTCTTCTGAGGCCTCTCTCTTTGGCGTGCAGATGGCTGTCTTCTCTCTGTGTCCTTACTAGGATGTAAACCTTTTGTGGGGACTATGCCTTCGAATTAGTATTCCTTGAGGGACCTAGTGCAATATCTTGCCCTGATGCCCAACAAATGTCTACTGATTGAGTCAGTCATTCACGGCATTGTCGTGATTTCTCTTTCATTGAAATCTTCTGGCTGTTCTGCAGCACTCATAGCTTTAAAGTATTATGGCCTAAATGATAACAATGTGAGCACTGCCTTCTTAGAAATAGTGTGGGCTGCCATCTAAAGAGAATTTATTTATCCCAGTGCCTAATATTCAGAAACTGTGGAATTGTCGGGAACACATTTCTTCCCAATAATAAGCCCTCCTGCATCTCAATGTCCACTTGTGTCAAGTTTGGGTGACAGCAGCAACCTCACTGAGTGGTTCATGTTTCATGGATGAAAGGATATCTCCTCATTCAACTGAGATAAAATTCAAAATTACCATGACTGATTGCAGAAGAAGCTTAAGAACAATATATCATTCAAAGTGTAGTGAGGTCCTTTTAGACAGAAGAGTTCAAAATCAGTAAGACAGAGAACAACGGAACAGACATAAGAGTCACACTGAACCATGAGATGAGCATGGAGGCTGTAATGTAGCTTAGAAATAAGCCTGATCTTGGGCACGGGCAACAGAAATGTAACACTTGAGAACCGTAAAATCATTATTTAAACTGGAAGGTGAGATGCATTTTTTAAAAAATGCAAAGGAATAAAAGAGATGGCTAAGGAAGGGAATCATCTCATACAAACTGCTGAAAGATTATTGTTTGGGGTATAGTCATCAATTCTCCGTCTCTACTGTAGGTGGGAGAAGAAACAAAATGGACTCACAACAAAGTAGAAGAAACAGAAATGAATGCTGAGGAAGAACTTCTGACAAAGTGGTGAGCATATCCTCTGGGCTGAATTATGTCACCCCCAACGCTGACATGTGGAAGTCATAACCCCCAGTACCTCAGAATGTGACTGTATCTGGAGACTGAGTGCTTAATTGGGTGATTATGTTAAAACGAGATCATGAGGGTTGACCTTAATTTAATCTGACTGGTGTCCCTTTAAGAAGAGGAGATGAGGCTGGGCACGGTGGCTCACGCCTGTAATCTCAGCACTTTGGGAGGCCAAGGCAGGTGGATCACAAGGTCAGGAGTTCAAGACCAGTCTGGCCAACATAGTGAAACACCGTCTCTACTAAAAATACAAAAAAATCAGCCCAGCATGGTAGCTCCTGCCTATAATCCCAGCTACTGGGGAGGCTGAGGCAGGAGAATCATGTGAACCTGGGAGGCAGAGGTTGCAGTGAGCTGAGATTGTGCCATTGCACTTCAGCCTGGGTGACAGTGCAAGAATCCATCTGAAAAAATAATAAATAAGAGGAGATGAGGACAAAAACATGCACAGAGAGAAGATCAAGTGAGGACACAGAGAGAAGATGCCTATCTGCAAGCCAGAGAGGGAGACCTCAGAGGAAACCAGCCTGACTGACACTTTGATCTTAGATTTTCAGCCTCCAGAACTGTGAGGAAATCAATTACTGATGTTTAAACCACACGCTCTGTGGCACTTTGTTAGGACAACTGGGAGCCCACAGAACTAAAGATTCTTGTAGCATCTCCCTGCTTCGCAATTTTTGAGAACAGACTAATCAAATTTTGGGCAGAGATCTCATTAAATCTTCAATTAACATTTTTACTCCTTGACGACAGCTCCTATCATTGCTGGTCCAGAAGATTCCCGTGTTCAGAGACTCAGTGTGATTTTCAAGCAGTTCGAGTTACGCTCAGCACCACAGAAGCAAATGCTCCCACCTTTGCCATGATTGGTTTTATAGAATCACAGTACAGCAAAACACAAAGTGGTCTTCTTGAACACTGTCTAAATTCATTACACAGCTTAATTGGGCCAATTTGAATACTTTTGTAGCAATCCTTGGGTCCCTTGGGATGCAGTGCAATTCTTAAAGTGGTGATTATTTCATGTTTTTACACTTGGAACTTGAATTCTTTGTAATTAATTATGCAAAAAGTATAAGAGAAGTTTGTGGAAGTAAAGCATCTTGGTATTGCCTAAAAATTCAAAAAATCCTTTAATTCAAAATATGAACCCTTTATATGTCACCCGGTGGCTAATTAAATAAATGCCTTTAATTGTCAGCAACTCATCTTCATAAGGCTGCCCCTGTATTTGCGTGAGGGTGGAACTCTGTATTTCTGTTCCTTTGCCTGGCAGATAGTAGCTTATAGTGGTTTTTCTTTTAGTCTGCCTGGCATGCCTCCCCATCCTACCCTTCACCTTGTGCGTGACCTAAGCCCTGGGAAATAAAGTCCTTTGCAAGTATTTGGCTTAGCTGACAGTAAAGAGCCTTCTTTTCTCTCTGGTTGATAAGCCTGATGAATGGCAGTCCAAAGAAACATAGAGCAGTAAGAGAACATCAAGTTTGTTACAAAAGTAAGGGGTGGGGGGAAAGAGAGAGAGAGAAACAGAGAGAGAGAGAAAGAAAAGCAGAGAGAGAAGGAAACACCCTGGTCCTGTTCTCACTTTCCCACTATTTGGTTATGTGAGCCACAAAGTCCGTCTTGTTTGCTTATGATACTTCCAGTGACATTGTCGCCACATAAAAATATGAAACTTGGCTGAGAAATAAGTATAATTCATCCTCTCTGAATGTCTGGAAGCCATCATTGGAGAGATCATATTTTTACTGTCAAACTAGGGCACTTTTGAGAGTGAAATACAACACAAATTGTAATTATGCTGAGACAACAGCCATAAACTTAGACCATTCCAGTAAACTTGTTAGTCTTTCTACCTCTACTCTTTCCAGTTCACACATCCCTGACTTTTTGACACTTTCTTACAAGTCATGGTTAGGAATCCCTCACCAGGCTGAGTGATATTCTGTGGACACCTGGCAGTTTGCCAGTGTCTCTCTTACAATGTGGTAGCTAGAATTGAATCCAATACTCAAGGTGTGGTTGGTTTGGAGCATATATTCCCATTAATCCCACTGATGCAGCCTCAAACTGAATCTCCCTTTTGCTCTCACTCTTTCTCCTTAACAGTGCTTTACACTGTGGCTAGTACATGGTTGGTATTAAAGGATCAATGAACAAAGGGCTCATTTTGAGATGGAAGTCAACTATAATCCAGTTAACTTTTGTGGATGGAACTTCACATCTCTCTGTCATAAATATTGTCCTGTTAGTGTGAGTTTCTATCTCACAATGTCACTGTTTCTCCCAATCTCTGCTCTTGATTAAATTTAATAAGCATATCATCTCTGTATTATTAATGTTGATATTTTATTATTATTGATGTTGCTATTAGCCAATCCTTAGTGCTTCTTATATGCCAGTCCTTATTCTAAGCATTTTAACTCAATATTCACAATAAAACTATGAGATGAATATTATGACTACTCTCATTTTGCAGATAAAGAAATTGAGATACAGAAAGGTTAAGTAGATTGCCTAAGGTCATAGAGATAATAAATGGCTGAGTCAGCTTTCAGTACACACACTCTTGCCCCAGAATCTGTCTTCTTAACCACCTTGCTATTCCTATCCAATTAATTGATTATTAAGATGTGGAACAGGACAAGGTCAAGGAGAAAGGCTGTGGCATCCCACCGTTAATACACAGCACTCGATGAGTTTGTTTCATTTTCTACTACTGTACATAACCGTATAATAAGCATAAGAAAAAGGCAATGTCATATGTCTTGCTGAAGCTAAGAAACACTCTTCCAACTAAATGTTTTAAATGCTTACAAAATATCATTAATCCAATCTAGAATCTTCTCTTGAGCTAATGTCAAATTAATAGTTGTTCTTTGTATTCTTTCATCCTTTCTCTTCCTTCTTTCCCTCCTTTCTTCCTTCTCCTTCACTTTCCTTCTTTCTCTTCACTGTTCTTTTTTTCTTTCCTCCCTCCCTCCCTTCCTGCCTGCCTGTCTGCCTGCCTTGTCCTCTTTTCTTCTTTCTCTTCACTCTTTTTCTTCCTTTCTCTCTCCTACCTTCTTTTCTTTCTTCCTTCCCTTCCCACTTCTTCCTTCTTTCCTTTCATCCTTCCCCCTGCCCTCCTTTTTATTCTTTCTTCTCTGTCTCTCAGAAGAGTTACATTTGCCTGACTGCCTGTCTCTCCTCTATTCTCCCATGCTCTGTTATTTATTTATTTACTTATTGTACTTTAGGTTCTGGGGTACGTGTGCCGATCATGCAGGATCGTTGCATAGGTACACACATGACAATGTGGTTTGCTGCCTTCATCCCCCCGTCACCTACATCTGGCATTTCTCCCCATGTTATCCCTTCCCACCCTCCCCACCTCCCCGCTGTCCCTCCCTTGCCCCTCTCCAAAAGACCCCAGTGTGAGATGCTCCTCTCCCTGTGTCCATGTGTTCCCATAGCACTTGCCCTGGAAGTCCTCTCAGAATATGAATTTACTTAGAGATTTAAGGTATCCTGTGGCTTCTTCATCTAGGAAATTATAGCTATTAGCAGAATCTGTAAATTTGTATAACTGGTTCAACATAGGCTTGCCAGATCAACCAATGAGTTGAACTAACTTCGAAAATCTTTCGTCCTTCTGTAAACACAATTTCACTCTGAGAAATTTTAATCTCAGCCTAGCCATTGTAAGAACAAATCAAAACACAAGGCAATGATACCGACCACCAAGACTGGCACATAGAAAATGTAATCCCAACCTACCCCATATCCCAAGTGATTACTAGGCCCATGGTTTCAAAAGTAACAAGACAATCATTTGATTAACTCCAAATGCAGAAAGTGAAAAATGAAGTGCACAAAAACTGGAGAAATACCTGATGCTGTGCTCATCCTAGATACAAGTTGTTTTGGAGACAGAGAAACACAAGGTCATAAACGGAGAAGCAGCTGTGGAAATTAGTCTAATCACACAAACACAGGGCCTAAAACAAATTTGGAAAATCTTGAAGGACTTAGAGAAAGTCCAGATATAAATAAATATGAAAAACAGTACTCCTGACCGATCTGGCTATCGGATGCACAACTGCCTGCCACTAGATAGGGCAGGGCTGGCAACAAATACTGCCAGCCAGGAGATGAGTTTTTCACCTCTCTGCAAGGCTGAATAGAAGGAATTTAATTTGCCTGCTTGGCTCTCATGCAATGCCAGGTAACCTTAGAATAAAGAGGGCTTTGAGGAAGAAAGCCAGACTTCCCTAACACATTGCCGCAATCATATCCTCCTCTTGTCAGATGCCTACAGACACAGCGACCGGCTTGTCCCAGACTGCTCATTGCTATCAGTCAGATCCATGAGGCTGTGTCTCCCACAGAGAAGGATGGGAGATGCAAAGGCTCCAACTGCTCTCACTGTGAAAACTCCACGGTGAAATTCCATCAGACAGAAGCCAGCTCTCTGCTGAGTGAATTGGGCCTTTTATCAGTCAGATTTGTATACATTATAGAAAGAGCCAAAGAAGGGAGTTACTGTACACTTTGTGTATTTTTAGTTCCCTAGGATTAGTTGCTATTGGACTGAACGTTTGCGGAAGAGAAGAAAAAATGCAACTTCAGTCCTCTGTGTATCTTGGTGGCTTCCTGAGGGCTCCAAGTTTTTCTGGACTTGCCTGTTTGCTTTTCTGATATACCATGGTGCATTCTTCAGCACAAAGAGCATATTATCTATTTCATGTTCCAAATTTTACCTCTATTTCATTTGTTTTTCAAACAATTTACTAATGAGGGCCACGGTGTGTGTGTGTGTGCATGTGCGTGCACATGTGTGTGAATACAGGCAGGCACAAAACATTTCATTCATCTGATTTTAGCTTTGAGCCTAACTCATCCTACTCACCCAAAGCAGCACAATAAAAACATTTCTGTTGGCAGAATCAGCAGGGAAACCTTTGCAGTCCTCTTACTTTCTTCATTGACTTTAGTTATTGCAGAAGCAGTTCCTTGTGCTAAAGTGAAAACAAAAACAAAAAAAAAAGACAAAATAAGTAGGCTGTGTGGATGTAGAGATAGCATTGCTGTCATTAGATTTACAATGAAAAAAACCTGACATTGTTGACTTGGTCTTTTACAGAGTTTTGTAAATAGAAACAATTCCTCTACCATTTTATTCACTGGCATAATTTTTCGGTCATTCTTATTTCCTCCTCTCAACTTCCTTTCAATTATCTAAGGTTTCAGTTATTCAACAAATATTTATCGAGCACCTATTATGTGGTAGGCATGTACTTAGTATTGAGAATGGGATTGGACAAGCATGGCCCTTGTCCTCCTAGACCTACAGGATATTCCATTAAAAATATAATACAGGGTATATATCCAAAGGATTATAAATCGTTCTACTATAAGAACACATGCACACGAATGTTCATTGCAGCACTGTTCACAATAGCAAAGACCTGGAACCAACCCAAATGCCCATCGATGATAGACTGGACAGGGAAAATGTGGCACATATACACCATGGAATATTATGCAGCCATCAAAAACGATAAGTTTGTGTCCTTTGTAGGGACATGGATGAACCTGGAAACCATCAGTCTCAGCAAACTGACACAAGAACAGAAAATCAAACATCACATGTTCTCACTCATAGGCGGGTGTTGCTCTTATCGTCCACCTACGATAGATGCCCAAGTTTTGGAGGTTAAGTTACTGGACAATTAATCATAAATGCTCAAGAAGTAGTCGGCGTGGTGGCTCACGCCTGTAATCCCTCCTTTGGGAGGTGAGTGGACCATCTGAGGTCGCGAATTGGAGACCAGGCTGGCCAACACGGCAAAACACTGTCTCTACTGAAAATACCAAAAAAAAAAAAATAGCTGGGCATGGTAGTGGACACCTGTAATCCCAGCTAGTTGGGAGTTCTGAGGCAGGAGAATTGCTTAAACCCAGGAGGCAGAGGTTGCAGTGAGCCGTGATTGCGCCAATGCACTCCAGCCTGGGTGACAGAGCGAGGCTCTGTCTCAAAAATAAACAAACAAAATGATTCAAGTGATTACTGCCCTGATATGTATTTCACGAACATTTACTGAGCCAATTTCTTACAGATGGACCAAATGAAATTTAAAGGTTTCACTGACCTATCACTTATGAGCTCTTTGACAGCCATCATGTTGTTAAAAGATAAATGAAAAACAGCCTATACATGACTGTTACATCATATCTAACAACTCTTACGTAGAAGACAATATATTGAATATGGAACTTAGACTTATGAGAACTCGATTAAGATGAAGATTTTCTGTCTTAACTCTTATGTGACCTTGTTTGAGCTACTTATGCATTTGGGTCTTTTACATTTTTTTCGATCTAGAAAACAGGGAGAATAATACTATGTTCCTGGGTCATTGGAAGGATTAAATTAAATAGTGTAGGTTAAAGAGCCTATCGGAGTCTGTGCCACACAGTAAACACTCAATAAATCATTGTGCTGCTTTGATATAATTATAACCCTTAGGAATAGAATTTCTTTGCATGCATCCATTAAGAAAAATATAGTGAGTTATTAGAGTTTAAGAGGTAATTTCTTAAAAAAGATTATCATTATATTTATTTTTACCTCTCTTCTATTCATCTTCTCAACATTAGCCAACATTACTACCAGTGACATAGGACTCTTTTCATTAAATAGGATTTATACCCTATACATTTACAGGGAATCTTTAATAAGGTTCCGTCAGGTTCCAGGAATTTTGTTTATGTGGTGTGTATATGTGCTCATCTATGCACAAGTAATCAGCGTGTTCAAAGTAGAATCAAGTTAACTTACCTCCAAGAGTTCCCCCACTACCGCCCCACCAAATTAATACTGTCACTCTTTCTAGAACCTGACCAGTAAAGAATTTGGGCTTTAAGTAGAGATGTGTCTGTGTGGATTATTTCTACATCAGAAAACAAATAACCATTGTTTGCTTTAACCAGTGCACTTTTAGTCAACCCACAAAATAGACTTTGTACTTTTTTAAATTTATAAAGCAAAATTCACATCAACTAAATTGGATTTGGCATTATTTTAAGAGGAAACGTTATTCATTACATTCAGTTCTCTAATAATCTTCTTCTTGGCTTGGAAAGGTGAACATGAGGTTATCATGCAGGTTCATGGAAAGAAAAATGATGGTCTCGGGGGAAAGGGGAGTTTAGACATCTCCAAAGTAATGGTCAGGGGTGTTGTTCATGAGCTTCTCTATCCAGTGCTGCCAAGAGTACATTTCATTCTAACCATAGACCATGGCAGCTATTCAAGAAGTAAATTCCATGAATTGTGAAAGTTTTTTACATATTTATTATAAGATATTTGCAATTGTTTCTTGACACACTTGAGTGTTAAATATTTGGCTATACATTTTACATATGTAACCCCAAATAACTCAATGAAATACCCTCATTTTACAGAAGGTGAAACTGAGGTTTAGTGAATTTGAGAAATTCTCCAGAGTATACTTGGACCTGGAAAAATCAGGACTAAAACCAAGCATGTCAAGCACCAAAGGTGGTACTTTTACCCAAAACAACACTCTGTCTCCTATTCTGCCATTCACCCTCCAGCTCTAGAACTGCTCTTCATTTACAACAGAGAAATTTCCATGTCCATGTTTCTACACTGGTGTTCTTGCTGTGATTGGTACCATCTTTGTTGCAAATGCAATCATTCCTCGATAATACCATATTTAAAAGAACCATTGAATAAGTACAATTTTAATTACCCAATGTATCAGCAAAGGACAGAGGTGGTAAAATGTAACTTTCTTCATTTACAACTGAGAACATAGAGAAGTGAGTTTGCCTGCAGGGCTTACCGTGGAAGAGAAAAGAGAACTTAGAAACCAGTTACTTAAATATTAGATCCACAAGCAGAGGTTTCCTAAACATCCTGACCTTACAGCTATCCTCATGCAGTAGTTTATCACCAAAAAATACATTAATACACATGCGTGCAAATGGAAATGATACCTCCTACTAATTATCTTTCTAGAAATGACAGTGGGCTTTAGTTTAGACAATAAGTACTTTCAGGATACAGACATCTTTTAAATATATAGCATGATTTTTCTATTTAAATTAATGATCTGGGAGGAAAAAAATCAATAATGATACTAGCTATTAAAAATAAATCTGTATTTTTCACATTCGACTATTCTAAATAAACCGTTTGTAGTAGGGTTGGCAAACATGCTCATACTCAATTTCATTCTGTGCAAGCATGGCACATGTGAGGGACTCACGGTTTGTTTGTTGATGTTGGCTGAGTTAAAGCTTCCATTGCTATCTGAACATGTGAAAGTTTTCAAACCCGCTAACGTGGAGTTTGCACCTGACAGAAGGGAAAAACATTTTAACAAGCTTTATTGCATCTGTTGAGAGAAAATGAAATGAAGTTTGCAGTGATATTTGCTTTCTTACAGTGCCGGTGAGAAAGCTGTGGAAAGATAAACATAGAAAAAAAAAAAGAGAGAGAGAGAGAGAACTCACTCAAATTATGCTTTTCTTTCTCATTTCTTGTTTTTCGGACTCCCACCTATTTTTCTCTATAATTTTCTGCCCAGGCTGAAAAGTATAAAATCCTTTTACATCTCTATATGCCAATTTCCACAGCTTCTGCTTCTTGCTAGCTGGCAAGTAAAACGTGGTCCAGCCAGAAGACTGCACGCTGGTTGCTATGTCCTGCACGCCAGAAAATCCCAAGGAAAGGGGCAGAACTCTTTTCAAATGGCCACGAAAAGCGCTATACTGGAGAAAGAGAGGGGCTGTATCTTACGGTTTTTTAAGCTGGGCATCTTTGAATCAAAATAATTTCCTAACCCTTTTACTAGCTTACTATATCCTGCCCGCTTCCAAAAAATATACATAAAATTTGCTTTCTGGATTCAACATGTAGGTCACTTCATTCAAGCTTCTGCTCGAATGTCACCACCTCAGAACGGCCTTTGCAAAACACGCTATCTAAAATGTCACCCCACGCCATTGACACCTTCCATCCCATTTTCTCTGGCTTTATTTTGCTTGGTAACAATAATCACGACCTGACACTTTACGTCTTCGGTTCATTTATTTATTGTTTCTCTCTCCTTCCAGCAAGTAGGTACCATGAAAATAGACTGATTGACCACTGTACCCCAAATGCATTGAACAGGACCCCACATCTGATAAAGACTCAATATATATTTGAAGAATTAATTAGATACCTGTGAAAACAAGCTGAACCATATGGAGCTGGCAGCAAAATACTGACATGCTATTTTCTGAGGTCATTTGTTCTCACCTAATTCTGCCTGAAGAAAACCTTTTCAGAGAGGCAATCTTTAGTCCAAGTTTCTTCCACTTCTTTCTTCTGTTCTCTGTGTAGTCAGCCCAAAGGATATTTGAGTTCAATTTGCAGAGAAATGCCATAGATAGAAATGATAATGTCCCTTCAACTTAAAAGGGCCGAGCATGTTTTGAAAGTGTTTTATGAACTGGAAACCTTTCTATGAGATATTCCACTGTAGCCCCATAAAACCTGACACCCGGCTGGAATTTCATCCTGTTAAATTTGGCAGTGTTTCCTTCCTCAAGTAATGAGTTCAATTCATGTTTTCATTTAAGTTCATACCCAGATACAAATCAGTGTCGCTGCCACAGGCAACGATTTGCAGAATTCCCAGGCGCCAGGGCTGAGGGATGGCGGGTTCAGAAGAATGAATGCCAAATTCTCTTTCTCACTGGGGGCTGTGTAGCATTTACTGTCATAAGCCCGCCTCATGCCAGGTCCCATGGAGGCAGTTGGCTAAGTGGGCTTCCGGCTTCTATCTCAACACAAGCTCCTCTCCTAAAGCCTCTCTGGATTTCCTGTGGTAATCCCTCTTTGTGTCCCTCTGAGAAAGAAACAATCATCGTTCAGGTTTTTTTCTTTCTTTCTTTTTTTTTCCAAGAAGAGAGTTCAAGAGCACAAGTGGTTTTAGTTAGG